ATTTTATGCGAAGGCTGTGAATGTATTTGCGGCTGTTTGAAAGAGGTTTGGGAGTGCATATCTTGCTGTCTCTGTTTTTAGGTGTGGATACCAGATAAAGGTGCGTACTCGACACAAATATTCTTGGCTAATATAAGCTTGACCTGGTTTGTCTATGATTTTCTTCGCTATGAGCTTTCCTTTCTGGAATGTTTTTCTTTTTCTTAATCACGATAGGAAACTTAGAAATTTCCATCTAGTATTAAACTCTAAGTATGGCTTTCTTGTACCCCATTCACGCCAGAAAAACATGTTAACTAAATCGGCTTTAACTAGGTAAAATACGGCAAAAATAACTGAGATTCTGAATTCTAAAATCCTAGTTATCCCTTTGAGCCATCAAATGTTGAAGCTAATAATGGTTGGAATTCTGGGCAAATCGCATTAACTCACTTCGGGACACGCCACAGGCTACTCTAGGTCTCCCTTGTGGTGCTCATCTGGCGCATGCCCAGTTCGCCTATGTATCTCAACTAGACGTTTAAGCTAAGTCAAAAAAAAATGACGCACCCGATGGATGAATGTACACTTTTAAGGCCGTGGGAGAGGTCTACCAGATAAAAGTCCCAAAAGGGGCATAGGAAGTGGTAATCGTAAGGATAATAAAGATGGTAAAACTGTCATCGTTAGTAATTTCTAGGGCCCTTTTAATGGGGAACGGGCCATTAACTGTTGATTCATTTGCGCGTGGCTGTGTGCCACTGAAATGCTTTATAAAAACTTTTTCTCTGTTTGTTTTTGCAGATTTTGGTGGCCTTTTGATGAATTTTTGACATTTTTCGTTGTGTCTTTAGCTTAGATCCTACTTTAAACTGGACAATATAAGCTTCATTTAACGTATCCTCACCTGGGTCCCAATGGAAGAAGTAGTTCAATCTATATGACGATCAATTTTTTAACCTATGATCGTCTACCCTCTCACTTTTTTTTTATGTATATCTGAAAAGCGGACTCAATTGCAGTAACTCGAACTCTACAGGAGTAGAGCTTCTGCAGCTTGATCGTGTAGAGTGTTCTTCTCAATTTTGTTGGCAAGTTCTAATTTTGGTGCAGCTAATGACCTAAGACTATATCTATTTACGACGTGTTGCTTGAGTTTTAGTGGAAAGTCCTCATTGTATAATGACTTGTGCGCTAGCTTAGCTATATTAAATTCTAAACGCTCTTTGATTGTGAGCCAACCTAG